TCATTAAGATAAGATTGAAGAATCCTTGATTCGCACGTTTTCCACCGGATGTTTTATCTTTCAAATGAGCCCTCCAATATGAAGCGGCGGGAGTGGGTCGCATTTCCATAATTTCCCCCGACTCGCTTGACCCTGTTCCCACTACCCCTTGAAATACCTACTATTACCCAGTCTTCAAGTTCACACAGGTTCAAGTTTATTAGCAAACCTGAAAACGTTCCATAAGATCGCATTACTAAACAATTTCAACGACCAAAAGGTATAAAAAATTATTACGGATTTATGCAACTGTGCAACTGCAGACCAGAGACGCGGGTCTTCATCAAAGAATAAGGGATGGGAAATAGATAGGGGCTAGTATAAATCGAGGCGCTGATGTCGTTAAGGGGGCACTGAAGTAAGTGAACCCCTTCTACAGGACTGGGCTAAGTCTCAGGGAGCTGAAGGGGTTCTGGGAGAAAACGTAAGCAACTTGTTCTCCCCAGCGTGTACTCTCTTAGGTTTCGTCCTAGTGTCACCTACCTTTGTGTGTTCCAATGCCTTGTTTTGAATGCCCCCCTTGAGGCCCATAAATCGATAAAGCCTTACAATTTAAAGAACATAGCCTTCGTTGACATATTCTTCAGCGCTTTGATGTTAAAGGCGGATTTTACGATGAAAAGGTAGCTCATTGGAAATAAGGGTAGAGGTGGTCAGTGGAGCAGGGATGAAGAAGAAACCATTGAAACGGCCCGAACCCGAGAAATGGGACCCCTTCCTTGCCCGTTGATTTCCGCATTGATGCGACTCTCATCGTTGTGCCCTCTTCAACGCTAACGCTCTCTCTGCTATCTAATCACTCGCCGCGTATAGACCTGCGGCGAGTGATTAGATAGTCGGTGGGCGTTCCGGGCCAATTGCGCCAAGGGAAGGCCACAGATCGCCGAGGTATATCCTTCGATGCAAATTGCGTGTTGGTCCGCCTCTCTCTTCACTAGGTAAGTTTCCACATCCTTCGATCTTTTCGTGGAATACTACTTCAAACTCCGGTGGCACAACTTGACACTGACTACAATACGGTAATACTGGACCGGCCTGTGGAAGCGAACCCTGCCAAGACTCCCACGCTTATCGCCAAGGTTAGCCGACCTTCTGGACTATTCGTTGAGGAATCTACGAGAGACAAAGTATAGGTGAAGGATCCCGCGTTGGAGCTGGCCTATGTGAAGATTAACCATGGCAAAAATGCCTGAGGAGAGCCATGACCTATTAGCTAACGTCCGGGAGTCACAATCTGGCCGCACAGAAACGATCCCGGAATCCCGGCATGTCGACCGAGAAAAAAACCCACCTTGATTTTCGTGTCAGGATCCATCAGGCGTCACAGCCGCGTTGATGGTAAGCACGACAAAGCCGATGGAGTAGCTTTTATATGCTTGACAGACAGACAATGAACTCGAATCGTTTTCACCGCAATGCGACTATGAATTCATCTACTTCTTATGCTCCCGCTTCAAGGTACGGATATGTGTGACGAAACCGGATCGCCCCACCGAGCGCTATCTCATTCTTGAACAACCTGCAGCCTTTAGCCCGGCCTAGATAAGAACCGACTGAAGGCCTGTCGTGTAGCAATAGGCACGGCATTGCACTTTTCAGTTGCGCGCCCAACACCAATACCGTTGCTTTTAG